AGCAGTGGACTCAAAGCACCACGCCACTCCCGGCACCCGATCCGAAGCCTTTAAAAAGGCTCCTTCACGAGTCGGGAGGGCGCTAATGGTGCAAGCCAAGTCACCCATGTCCACGGACTCCGTGCCCGTGGTTTTTAAGGGTCCCCGCGTCGCCGGCGCGGTAGGACCCAGCCCCTGCCGAGCAGACTCCCTCCGGAGCTCGGAGGGAGTCCGCCATTCGGCGATGGCGCTAACCCGGAAGTGGACCAAGGCCGTTTAGGGCTTTAAAGGTCAGCACCAACACTTTGAATTGTGCTTGGAAACATCCTGGGAGCCAATGTAGGTCTTTCAGGACCGGTGTTATGTGGTCTCAGCGGCCGCTCCCAGTCACCAGTCTAGCTGCCGCATTCCGGATTAGTTGTTGTTTCTGAGTCACCTTCAAAGGTAGCTTTAGAAGACATCTGAAGGCAGCCCTGTTTAGGGCAGTTCCCTCCCTGCGAGAAGCCAGGTTACCGGGAACCAGGCAGAGGGCCTTCTTGGTGGTGGCACCCTCCCTGTGGAACGCCCTGCCATCAGATGTCAAGGAAATAAACAACTATCTGACTTTTAGAAGACACCTGAAGGCAGCCCTGTTTAGGGAAGTTTTTAATATTTGATGTTTTACTGTGGTTTGAATATTCTGTTGGGAGCCGCCCAGAGTGGCTGGGGAAACCCAGCCAGATGGGCGGGGTATAAATAAAATGTGGTGTCCCCTTCCAACTTCACGATTCTCTGAGAGGCACTCGGGAAGCTTATCCCTGATAGGATGGATCTCTATTCCGACTCAGCGGGTGTTTTCAATCAGTTGCCGTGTTTCCTTGAAACGAAACCTTAATCCCATAAACCGGAGCGCTGGCTATCTCCAAAGGGCAGGATTATAGATTAACGCAACAGAAGGATTACAGTGAGGGGCGGCAGGTTGCTAGAGATGGTAAACTCTGTTCTCATAAGGAAATGCCATGAGGGCGATCTGAGCTGGAGGCGGCTTAAATTCTGGATTTCAAGCATCCCTCCTGCACCCTGGGCGCGCTTAGGAAAAGCGTTTGCTCTCCTCGTGGAAGATTTAGGGTTCTTTTGCAAGGACAGCAGCAAATCGAGGTGAGGTTTGGGGACGTTAAGCTTTGCACGCCGATAAGATCGACTCTGGCGGGGTTGGGACATGGAGGGTGAGATAGAAGAGCAAAAGGACACCTGCTTTGCATGTAGAAGGTCCAGTCTGTGGCATTTCCCGGTAAGACATCGAAAGGCTATGGTTTGAAACCCCCTGCGGCTCACACGGAGTTAGGAGCATGAGAAGTTGCCTTGAACAGAGTCAGACTGTTCTTCGATCTAGCTCCATACTGTCTTTGTTGTTGTTTAGTCGTTTAGTCGTGTCCGACTCTTCGTGACCCCCTGGACCAGAGCACGCCAGGCACTCCTGTCTTCCACTGCCTCCCGCACTTTGGTCAAACTCATGCTGGTAGCTTCGAGAACACTGTCCCACCATCTCATCCTCTGTCGTCCCCTTCTCCTTGTGCCCTCCATCTTTCCCAGCATCAGGGTCTTCTCCAGGGAGTCTTCTCTTCTCATGAGGTGGCCAAAGTCTTGGAGCCTCAGTGAGCACTCAGGGCTGATTTCCTTCAGAATGGAGAGGTTTGATCTTCTTGCAGTCCATGGGACTCTCCAGAGTCTCCTCCAGCACCATAATTCAAAAGCATCCATTCTTCGGTGACCAGCCTTCTTTATGGTCCAGCTCTCACTTCCATACATCACTACTGGGAAAACCATAGCTTTAACTATACGCACCTTTGTTGGCAAGGTGATGTCTCTGCTTTTTAAGATGCTGTCTAGATTTGTCATTGCTTTTCTCCCAAGAAGCAGGAGTCTTTTAATTTCGTGGCTGCTGTCACCATCTGCAGTGATCATGGAGCCCAAGAAAGTAAAATCTCTCACTGCCTCCATTTCTTCACCTTCTATTTGCCAGGAGGTGATGGGACCAGTGGCCATGATCTTGGTTTTTTTGATGCTGAGCTTCAGACCAGGCTCACCTTATCCATACACAAATATGCCGTTAAGACAGGATTTGCAAGCAAAAATACAATACAACACTCCCTTACTGCAGAGGAATATTTGAGGTCATTGGGAGAGTCAAAATGGCTTCAGGATGGCTCTCCTGTACTATTTCAGACACATGGTTCGTATATTTAGATATGTGTGCATTTATGAATATTTATTCTATATAACAACCGCTTCTTATAGCAACCCCTCTCTCCCTCTTCCCTCCCCTGACAAACATCTCCTTTTGGAAACACATGCAACCCATTTTGATTGTGTTCCCTTATCTCCATCTCTCTGTCTCTCTTTGTCTCCCTCCCTGTCTTGTGCTGTCATTAATATCATTTATTTTTTTAAAAGTTACTAAGGGAACAGGACTTTTAATAAACGCGAATGAAATTGAGTATTTCAAACAAAATGAAGCTGAAGTTCTTGCTGGCAAAGGAACTATTTATTCCGTGAAATACAAAATGAAAATTTAAGGAAAGGAGGAGTTGAGTGGGCGATTGGGGAAAAAAGGTATTATATATGCTTTTCATTAGCCGTTGGAGAATTCGCCTTTAAATCGGGGGTTTCTTAACACTCCGGGCGGCTCCCAACAGAATATCAAAAACACGATAAAACGTCAAAGAATAAAAACGTCCCTAAACAGGGCTGCCTTAAGTTGTCTTCTAAAAGTCAGAAGGTTGTGTATTTCCTTGACACCTGATGGGAGGGCATTCCACAGGGCGGGTGCCACCACCGAGAAGGCCCTCTGCCTTCTTTCCTGTAACCTCACTTCTCGCAGGGAGGGAACTGACAGAAGGTCCTCGGAGCTGGACCTCAGTGTCCAGGCTGGACGATGGGGGTGGAGACACTACTTCAGGGATACAGGGCCGTTTAGGGCTTTCAAGGTCAGTACCAGCCCTTTGAATTGTGCTCGGAAATGTACTGGGAGCCAATGGAGGTCTTTCAGGACCGGTGTTATGTGGTCTCGTTGGCCGCTCCCAGTCCCCAGTCTAGCTGCCGTATTCTGGATTAGTTGTAGTTTCGGGTCATCTTCAAAGGCAGCCCCATGTAGAGCGCATGGCAGTAGTCCAAGCGGGAGATAACCAGAGCATGCACCACTCTGGTGAGACACTCTGCGGGCAGGAAGGGTCTCATCCTGCGTACCAGATGGAGCTGGTGGACAGCCACCCTGGACACAGAATTGACCTGCGCCTCCATGGACAGCTGTGAGTCCAAAATGACTCCCAGGCTGCGCACCTGGTCCTTCAGGGGCATGTTGACCCCATTCAGGACCAGGGAGTCCTCCACACTCGCCTGCCCTGTGTGCCCCCAAAACAGCACTTCTGTCTTGTCAGGATTCAATCTCAATCTGTTAGCCGCCATCCATCCTCCAGACTGCACACCGCGTCCTTCAGGGACACAGTTATGGTGTCTTACAACCCATTCATTGTCTCTTTTGCAGCCTCTCAGCCTGACAACGATGTTGTACTGATGTTGGAGAAGAAGGGATTGGATGCAGTAATTTTTCCTCCGGTTCTAGAGTTGCCAGCCTTCTGGAACCGCAACTGGAAGGTATGAGGGCATGTAATCTCCCCTCACCTCTCTCTCTCTCTCTCTCTCCTTTCCTCCTTTCTTTTTATATTGATTTTTTATTACCTTTCAGAAATTTTAACAAATAAACATTAATACATGTTTCTCTTAACGGTTTGACTTCCCACCGCGAATGTAGCCAGGAATTTTGTTAGGGGGAGCAGGTTTTTGTTGGGGGTGGTGACACAACCTCAGATTTGTATTGATTTTTTATTGATATTGATTGATTGGGGGGGCAGCTGCCTCTCCTGCCCCCCTTGCTTCCCACCCTTATTTCCACCTCCCCTCGCTGCATTATGTAGCATAAATCGAAATCTCATACTTATTTTCTCTGGTACAATTGTGGTCATTTCTCCTCCACTGCCCAGATTTCGAATCCTGCTTGCAACTTCATTTTTTAAAAAAAGTTTATATAATTTATTTATTTAAAGTTTATACATTTTATTAGTTTTACAATCGTTTTAACATTTACAAACTTCCTTCCAGTAGCACCTTAGAGACCAGCTAAGTTTGTTATTGGTATGGGCTTTCGTGTGCATGCACACTTCTTCAGATGCCAGTAACAGATATCTGAAGATACCAGATATCATTTCCCAGAAAGCTTTTACCACCACATACAGTAAAAAGACCTCCTTCCAAGAAAACTTTTTTGTTGTTGTTTAGCCGTTTAGTCGTGTCCGACTCTTTGTGACCCCCTGGACCAGAGCACGCCAGGCACTCTTGTCTTCCACTGCCTCCCGCAGTTTGGTCAAACTCATGCTGGCACCTTCGAGAACACTGTCCCACCATCTCGTCCTCTGTCGTCCCCTTCTCCTTGTGCCCTCCATCTTTCCCAGCATCAGGGTCTTTTCCAGGGAGTCTTCTCTTCTCATGAGGTGGCCAAAGTCTTGGAGCCTCAGCTTCAGGATCTGTCCTTCGAGTGAGCACTCAGGGCTGATTTCCTTAAGAATGGAGAGGTTTGATCTTCTTGCAGTCCATGGGACTCTCAAGAGTCTCCTCCAGCACTAGAATTCAAAAGCATCCGTTCTTCGGCGATCAGCCTTCTTTATGGTCCAGCTCTCACTTCCATACATCACTACTGGGAAAACCATAGCTTTTACTATACGGACCTTTGTCGGCAAGGTGATGTCTCTGCTTTTTAAGATGCTGTCTAGGTTTGTCACTTTAATAATAATAATAAAAACCAACCCTCCTATTTCCGCAGGCGACTGGGGTGTTTGGTCAGCGGTGCGGCATCGTCATGGAGTAGATCTCTGGAAGGGAAACTCCCTCACCCCGAAAAAACCACACACATACACACACACATGATCCTGGAAGATGCTTGCTGCCTGACACCACCCCTGGCGAGGAGTTTTCACCGTGCTGCTGGGATGGACAACGCCTCAACGCTGGATTACGAGCTCCTATCCCCGGGGCGAGTGGAGCCCGTCCCCAGTCCTTTCGGGATGGACGCGGAACAAAAGACGGTCTTTGCCTTTGTCATCCTCCTGTTGGCGTTCTTGGTGATGCTGATGGTCCGCTGCTTCCGTATCCTGCTAGACCCTTACAGCCGGATGCCCGCTTCATCCTGGACCGATCACAAGGAGGGGCTGGAGAGGGGGCAGTTTGATTATGCCCTGGTATAGCTCGGGCGAAGCCTGATGTCTGAAAGAGGCGGAAAACCCTTGGCATCTTCTGGAGCAGGGTTTCCAGGGGAAGCAAAGTCCCTGCTCTCAAGGGATGGGGTGGGGTTTTTATTTGGGTGTGGGCAGGGACGGAGGGGGGCAGTTTTCCATTTTCTGAAGTCGTAAGCAACCACGGGAAGGTGCCCGTTTCAAACCATAGCTGTCAACTTTCCCCTTTTCATGCGAGGTATCCTATTCGGAATAAAGGAATTTCCCTTAAAAAAATGGAAACTTGACAGCTATGTTTCAAACACGGCATCCGCCGAGCTTCTCAGCGCAGGTGAAGCAGTGCTCTGATCCAAATTGGGTTTGTGTGTGTGAAAATTTGTTTGGAATTTCCTTTGAAATCCGCTTCGCCGGAGAGAGGCTGAGAATCTCAGATCTGATGCAACTCCTTGCCCGTTTTCTGTGTCGCTCGACGGGGGATGAGGCAGGTGCCCCCTTTGCTGTGACCTGAAATGTCTTGCGTCGTGGGAGGGGGGTAGGGAGTTGTAGGGGGGTGGGTTGGGGTGGGCAAAGGGTGGGGAAATGCCACGGGGTGGCAGCGAAGGAATGTTTCGCCAGCGAGGGGCGGATTAGAGCTCTGAGGTCTCGAGAGAGGAAGGGCATTGAAGGTGGTTTAATTGGTTTGGATTGGAAAGAAATCAAAGCTGTCAACATCCATACCCTCTAACATTTCTGATAGAAATAGGGATCTCCTATTCCGTAATAGGGACGCGGGTGGTGCTGTGGGTTAAACCACAGAGCCTAGGACTTGCCGATCAGAAGGTCGGCGGTTCAAATCCCCGCGACAGGGTGAGCTCCCGTTGCTCAGTCCCTGCTCCTGCCAACCTAGCAGTTTAAAAGCACGTCAAAGTGCAAGTAGATCAATAGGTACCGCTCCGGCGGGAAGGTAAACGGCGTTTCCGTGCGCTGCTCTGGTTCTCCAGAAGCAGCTTAGTCCTGCTGGCCACATGACCCGGAAGCTGTCTGCGGACAAACACCGGCTCCCTCGGCCAATAAAGCGAGATGAGCACCACAACCCCAGAGTCGGTCACGACTGGACCTAACAGTCAGGGGTCCCTTTACCTTTATTCCATAGTAATAATAGTACAGATAACTAGAGCATGCACCACTCTGGCCAGACAGTCTTCAGACAGGTAGGGTCTCATCCTGCGTACCAGATGGAGCTGGGAGACAGCTGCCCTGGACACAGAATTGACCTGCGCCTCCATGGACAGCTGCGAGCCCAAAGTGATGGAGGATTTGTGGCCCTCCAGACCTGGATGGACTACAACTCCCGTCCTTCTTGACCATTGGCTGCGCTGATTGCTGGGAGTTGTAGTGCAGCCACATCTGGAAGGTGCCATTCCAGCTGCCCCCGGTGTATCTTGGCGGACGAATGGTCCAAGCTGGTATAAAGCCACTTTTTGAATGTCTCTGCTTAAGCGCCATTCAGAAGACCGAATTCAGGAAGCAGAGGAAAGACAAGCACCGTATTTTTCGCTCTATAAGACGCACCAGACCACAAGACGCACCTAGTTTTTGGAGGAGGAAAACAAGAAAAAAAATATTCTGAATCTCAGAAGCCAGAACAGCAAGAGGGATCGCTGCGCAGTGAAATCAGCAATCCCTCTTGCTGTTCTGGCTTCTGGGATAGCTGCACAGCCTGCATTCGCTCCATAAGACGCACACACATTTCCCCTTACTTTTTAGGAGGGAAAAAGTGAGTCTTATAGAGCAAAAAATACAGTAATCCATGTGGTTCTGACTCGCCAAATAAAACAAAATCCCAGCTTGCGCACGAAAGTAGGAGTGTTTCAGTTTCCCAATCGTGCTGTGAGGCAGCCCTTGTCTTCATCCTTCTCTTCCACCCATAACTTTTGTCCCAACCAGCTTGCTTTTGCGTCGACCCTGGTAGGTCATGTGTGAATCTGTTGTGTCCAGGCAGCCCAAACCGTCTCTGCTCTCTGGGCTTGGGGAGTGTGGGAAGGAGTGTCTCCACCCCCATCGTTCAGCCCGGACACAGATCCAGCGCCAAGGGCCTTCTGGCGGTTTCCTCCCTGCGAGAAGTTAGGTTACAGGGAACCCAGACAGAGGGCCTTCTCGGTGGTGGCGCCCACCCTGTGGAACGCCCTCCCTTCAGATGTGAAGGAAATAAGCAGCTATCCTATCTTCAAAAGACATCTGAAGGCAGCCCTGTTCAGGGAAGTGTTTAATATTTAACGCTGTATTGTTTTTAACATTTGATTGGGAGCTGCCCAGAGTGGCTGGGGAAACTCAGCCAGATGGGCAGGGTATAAATAATCAATTATTATTATTATTATGTGTGGGGAAAGTTCTCTTGCCCCAGCAAAATCCATCTTGGAACATGAGCCATGGAGAAGGTTAGGGAGAAGCCTCCTTCGGCCAGAGTCTTAAGCACGCAGAATGGAAAAAAAGAAGTTGTCTCCATAAAATAGGAAGGACTATTAAAATTTATGGGCTACAGTCGTACCTTGGAATGCTTTAGTACTCAGACGTTTTGGCTCCTGAACGCCGCAAACCCGGAAGTGAGTGTTCTGGTTTGCGAACGATCTTCGGAACCCGAACGTCTGACGGGGCTTCCACGGCTTCCAGTTGGTTGCAGGAGCTTTCTGCAGCCAATCAGAAGCCGCGCTTTGGTTTCCGAATGTTTTGGAAGTTGAACGGACTTCTGGAACGGCTTCCGACGTATGGCTGTATTGGAAATGGCAAAGGTGAAAGCAAAATAAGAGGTCAAGCGGTGAATTTTATACTGAAGAATGAGACCCGTGTTTGTTTGGGAAATATCCTATGTTAAATGGAATCGCCGGCAGGATTAAAATACGAGCAGCGGAAGAAATGCGATTATAATTGTAGCGAAGGAATTGCGGAATAGACGGAAGTACAACGCAGCGTGGAAGGGGGAACTGGAAACACCGCGGAAGAAAGGTCAACGTTTGAATGAGTATCAGATTTGAGGTTCATTTGTTTAAGAAACGATGAAACACAATAATATTTGAATGGGAAGGGCGGGGAAGGAACAGGAGTCACAGGGAGGGATAGGGAGTAGATTCCTCCGGTGGTGGCAGAAAACTGGGACAGGGCTGTGGAAGGGAGGGAGGATAGTATCTTGCAAACGCCCCTTCCCGAGGGGTTCTGGAAAGAATTGTGCAGGCCACAGTTCACCTTTGAGGCAGAGTTCGGGCCTCTTTTCTGCTGTGGTGTACTGAGAGCCAGTGTGGTGTAGTGGTTAAGAGCGATAGACTCGTAATCTGGGGAACCGGGTTCGATTCCCCGCTCCTCCACCTGCAGCTGCTGGGTGACCTTGGGCCAGTCACACTTCTCTGAAGTCTCTCAGCCCCACTCACCTCACAGAGGGTTTGTTGTGGGGGAGGAAGGGAAAGGAGAATGTTAGCCGCTTTGAGACTCCTTCGGGTAGTGATAAAGCGGGATATCAAATCCAAACTCCTCTTCTTCTGTGTGTTGAGAACAGGGAGCTATTTCTATAAGAAGGGTACAAGCACCATGAAATAAAGCTGCCTTTTGTTGCTAAATTTGCCTGTTGCCTCCTCTTTGATCTCCGCACACCCAGCCATTGCTGAGATATTTTACCCCTGCCCTCCTGTGGATATGTGCAATGTTTTGAAAGGGCTCGCGTGCACTGTCTCTCTGCCCCCCCATTAAAAAATTGGCAAATTTGACAGAAAATCAATAGAGGTGGATGCACGTGGAATGCTACTGCCAGCTTGCAGTAACCAGAATAATCCTACTTTGAAATATATATGTGTGTGTTAATAGAGGCAGTCCATAGCGATGCAAAGGATGCGGGTGGCGCTGTGGGTTAAACCACAGAGCCTAGGGCTTGCCGATCAGAAGGTCGGTGGTTCAAATCCCTGCGACGGGGTGAGCTCCCGTGATAAAATGGCCACGTGATAAAATGTTTGGAACATTTTTATACATTTTTTGCTAGTTTAAGCGGTGTTAAGTACCACCTAAATAACATATGGGATGCGGGTAGTGCTGTGGGTTAAACCACAGAGCCTAGGACTTGCCGATCAGAAGGTCAGCGGTTGAATCCCCGCGATGACGGGGTGAGCTCCCGTTGTCCGGTCCCTGCTCCTGCCAACCTAGCAGTTCGAAAGCATGTCAAAGTGCAAGTAGATAAATAGGCGGGAAGGTAAACGGCATTTCTGTGCACTGCTCTGGTTCGCCAGAAGCGGCTTCGTCATGCTGGCCACATGACCCGGAAGCTGTACGCCGCCTCCCTCGGGCAGTAAAGCGAGATGAGAGCTGCAACCCCAGAGTCGGTCATGACTGAACCTAATGGTCAGGGGTCCCTTTACCTGCACCACGTTAGACCAACACGGCTACTTACCTGAATCTAGAACTCAGGCAAATTGGTCACGATTTGGCAATGGCGGCTCTGCTCCTAGACTGTTGCCCAGAATCTGCTTTTCTACAATGATCCTTAATTTTCCTGAGTTCCCCCACCCCCACCACCCCAGCGCACCTATTTGTTTTTCTCCGTTAGTAATGTTGCTAGCTGATTCGTCTGCCCCCAAGGCCATTCCATCTCCTCCAACATTTCTCCGATGAAAATAGAGAAAAGCAGGATGTTCCGGGGTCAAATCAGAAACCGGGACGGCTTCTGTAAATCTGAGACTGGTCCCTGGAAAATAGAGACACGACTGGACCTAATGGTCCGGGGTCCCTTTACTTTAAGCATCTTAAGAGCCTATTTTTGAGATGTCAAGTCCAAGCATTTGGGAAACAAGGAGAGCGCCACAGACCTTTAACCCAAAATAACTTTATTGCTGCCGTCGCTCATGATACAAAATGAAAAAGTCGGGCCCCCCCAGGCGGCCGGGTCTCGGTCTCAGTGCCGTGTGCGGCCGACCCCTCCCCTGCTCCCCCTCCGCCGGTGCACGGAAGGAAAGTCACGGTCGTGGTGCGGAGGAGATCAGGACTACAACTCTGCACACGCAAACACCACGCCCCTTGGCTAATGGATTACCATCATCATCAACAACAATAATAATAATATTAATAAGAATCGGAGGGAGGGGGAAAAGCACCATTTGGCAAAACCCAAAAACAAGTACGGAAGATGAAACGAGGCAGGAAAGATTGGTTATGAGAGAGGATGTCGTGTTGAGAAGTCTGGCTTGGGGCGCCTCCCCAAGCCTGCTGTGGACTGAGCTGGGGAGGTCCAGGGGTTTCAAGTTTTAAAGGAGCCCAAGTCCACTTCCTGACACCCATATTTTTTGAACAACAACAAGGGGAGGGAAGGAATGGGAAGGATCCAGAACAGGACCAGGACCGGCCACCTCCTCCTAGGACAGCCCTTCTCAACCTGTGGGTCCCCATATGTCGTTGAACTACAACTCCCATCACCCCTAGCTAGCAAGGCCAGAGCTCAGGGATGATGGGAGTTGTAGTCCAACAACATCTGGGGACCCACAGGTTGAGAACCACTGTCCTGGAGGATTTGCCCCTCTGGCAATGCCCCAGCTTCGCTCATTTCCAACAGGGGTGGATGCACCTGTCAATTTCAGTTCCCTTCTCTCTTTCCCCCCAATCTTAAATCCAGTTCTCCAGATTTCTGCAGCCATTTGCAACTTCCTTTCTTTTTAAAAAGCCCCTCGTGAAAACTCGCCAGCATTTTGGTGCGAATTTCCCTGAATGCACCTAGCTTTGCCCGTTGTTCCAATTAACAGGCGCATTTTCAAAAGCGCTTCCACTTAATGTGAAGTGGGGTTTGGTTTGTTGTTGTTTTGGCTGTTTCCGCCTAATCACGTGCATATTCGCACGCATGATTTGCCTGGAGAACGGTTGCAAAATTCGGAGATGCGCGGATTTCAAAGGCTGGCCCTGCTTCCGTTCACGTTATTGGCGCTCGCTGAGACGCAAACGGAATTGAAATTCTTCCCTTACCCCACTTCCCTAGGCCTGTGCAGACCTCAGGAGACCTAACGGAGGGAAGGCAGAGGGGACAATTGAAGAGGTGTCAAGCAGTCAGAGGGCGCGCACAAAAGGGGGAAAAGAAAACCTGAGCAAGAGAGCACCCCTGGAACTCCGAATTGGAGAACGGTCGCAGTTTCAGGTCCAGTTTTTGCAGCAATGAATTAAAACAGCTGCGGTATTGCCATGGCAAAACTTAAAGCAGGTGTTTCACAACCTTGCTCCCACACCCTCAAATCCACACAGACTGACATGGCAGGGGGCTTTTGTGAATGAATTTTGTGAATGAATTTTGCGAATTAATTTGTGAATGAATTTTGTGAATGAATCAATTCGCATTTGTTTGCCCCCTGCCATCACCATATGGCAGCTGTTATTTTTACCCATTATTCCGCTGAGGCACATTGAGGTTCCTGAGGCATCAGAGGGAGATTCTTGCTAGAAGAGGAGGAGGAAGAGGAACCCCCCCCCAAATGAAAAATATAGCTGCTTAGGATTATGGTGCCCTTTGGCACTTCCGGGTTAACGCCTGAGTCTGTCAGTCTCCACCCAGGGGGTCTGTGTCGGGCGCAAGCATGTCAAGGGCTTGGGGTGGGAGCAGAGGCCTTGTGGGTGGAGTGTGGGGGTCTTCTGACCCCTCTTGGAGCCACGTTTCCCACTACAAATTCAATAACCCCGCTCTGAAGCAGGTGGCCGCAGGGAGGGAGGCTAGCAGTAGGTGGCGCCAGAGGCAAGAGGCAGATCCCAAGGGAGGTGGAGCCAAGCCCAGACTGGCAGCAAGGAGGCAGGCAAGTTGAGGCTGGCTGGGGGCGGACTGAGGTTGGCGGAGAAGGCCCCCCCCACATTTGCTCAGATGGGGCACACCACAAGACAGCGAGAGTCTTTGACACCCTCCTTCCTTATATTAGGTTGCTCTTGCTAGTTTCTCATCGGGTGTGTTCGCAGGTAAGCCTTAAAGAGGCGCGATCACACGGAAGGGTTCAGGTCAGCTTTCTCCAATCCTGGTTCCCCCTAGACGTTTCGAACTACAACTCCCACAGCTTCTGCCAAGTGTCCGAAATGGTTCCCGTTATGCCCCATATTCTTTCGCGTTGGCAATCGGACGCTGACCTAAGCAGCAGCAGCAGCAGCAACAGAGAGGTCACATTTGCACCATGCACTCAAAGTGCACTTCCTGGGAACTGTAGTTCACCCCCCACCGAGCCGCAGATCCCAGCACCCTCAACTGACTACGGTTCCTAGGATTCTCTCTGTGTGTTTTAAACGTGTTTTGGACGGTTGAGAGCACAACCAGAGCCACAAAATAAGATTTAAGCCCCGTGCGAGAGGTTGCTTGAGCCTGGGATAGCTCAGCTGGCAGAGCACGAGGCTCTTCAACTCAGGGTCTTGGATTCGAGTCCTACCTTGGGCAAAAGATTCCTGCATTGCAGGGGGTTGGACTAGATGACCCTGATGGTCCCTTCCAACTCTACAATTCTAGCATTCTTTGACTTGCCAGGGGCCTAATTCACGTTTCACCTCAACCCCAGGGGAGTACAATAATGCTGACCTACTCTAAAGGGCTGTTGTGAGGTTTCACTGAGATAACCTACGTGAAGCACCTTGAAAGCTCACTTCCCCTGTCTAAATGCAAAAAAAAAAAATATTATTTGTAGATGGTTTCTGGGTGCCCAGGAATGCTCCTGATGAGGGCATCAGTAAGGTTCGGTGCCTGCCCCTACTCAAAGCGTTGTCTGGCTCAGTTGGTTAGACCTTGGTGCGAATCACGCCAAGGTTCCAGGTTCGAATATCCCCGTATGGATATTCCCCGCTGCGTATTCCTGCATTGCAGGGGGTTTGGCATGATCAGGCATGGCCAAACTTGGCCCTCCAGCTGTTTTGGGACTACAGCTCCCATCATCCCCAGCTAACAGGACCAGTGGTCAGGGATGATGGGAACTGTAGTCCCCAAACAGCTGGAGGGCCACGTTTGGCCATGCCTGGCCTAGATGATCTTCAGAGACCCTTCCAGCTTATGATCTATGAAGTCTGCTCCCTTGTTTCCACCCAGGACACAACGGCTATATGATTTCTTTCCACCCACCTTTATTTCGACAGACCCCTGGTAACTTCTACCCAAGTTAGGGAGCCGATAATATTAACTTCTCTCTGCTGTGTGACATCTAGCGCTCTCTGCGTTAAGGAAACAGATGGAGGTGTGTTAAACTCCCTCAATTTAGGGGCCTGGTGTGACTTTCGCTCACGATGTGTGTCACATTTTCAAACTGGCCCCTACCACGCAAGAACAACCAGTCCCCTGTTTGGAACCTCTTCCCTTTCCGCAGAGGGTCGAGCACATTCCTTCCTGCGGAGGTAACGAGGCAATGGTTTCCCTTGCTGCGCAATGCACATCGCTGCTGTTCAATGAACTCTAGTGCATGCCAGCTCTGCAGGGGTGAACACAGATAATGCATCTAACGCTTAAGAGCAGCTGCGTTAGGTCCGGTTAGGTTTAAAGCAGGCAATATACGGTGCCAAGGGAAGGAGAGAAGCTAGTCTGGCTCTCAATATCCGCCCCTCGCCCAGGTATGTGACTCTAAGATGCATGGAAATATAGCAGCTCTGCCTCTTCGCTTTGGTCCCCATAAGCGGCGCAGTGCACTTCAATGCTGTCCAAGTAACGCTAGTGCACTTCGGAGGACCCTGCAGAGGTTGGATCCGGTGCAGGCCTGGCTGCCTTCCCTCAACCGTTGTCGACAGGCGAAGCACCCGCACACGAAACCCCGGAGTCCAGTGTAATAGCGGGCCGGACGCACAGTGGAGACCGGAAGCTGCCATTCCCTTCCGACGCGAAGGGAGGTGAATAAGTCCTCAGTGCTCGCAGAGGAGGAGGAGGGCCACTGGGATGCCAAGGCGAGGGGGGAAACGAGGGGGGGGACCCAAGGCGAGCGAGGGAGGGAGGGGGGCTTCCTCGCCTGCCGGGTCCAGACCGCTGCCGTTCCCCGGAGGCCGCAGGGTGGAGGCCGCCTGTGGGGCAGGAGGTGGTGGCAGGGGCGAGAAAAGCCCTCTGAAATACGTTTTTGTTTTGGAGAACAGGATTCGTTGTGGTCCAGATCAGGGGCTGCCCTGAAGCCCTTCTGCCATGGCAGCAAGGTGGGGGGGCGTACCGGCGCAAGGGGGGGAGAGGCGCAGATTCTCCCGGGGTGTGTCGTTGGTGGTGTGCAGCCTGAGCCCTTGGCTTCGTTGGTGTCTCTCTCGGGAAGGGCAGGGTTAAAAGAGGTGGAGCTGCAACCTCATTTTGAGGGCCTCGCCCAGCTCCCCGGCAAGGTAGTCGTGATCCTTCAGGGCTTCCAGGTGTTGCAGTTCGCGCTTGCGGTAAAGCGGGACGCTGACGATCTCCAGCTGGTAGGTGCCGGGCGACGCCCGCTTGCGCGCCAGGTGTAGGAAGCTGAGCCCGTCTTGCTGGTGGATGTGGAAGTGGCCCGCCTCGTTCCCCTGGGCAATGACGTAGCGGACGCGGTTCTCCAGCGGCGCCACGGCCGGCAGCAGCTCCAGGATGTGCTCCTTGTGGCCCAGGCCAGAGAGGTTGAGAGCCACCACCACCGGCGATGCCACGTCGATGCTGGCCAAGCTGACACCCGGCTTCTGCGCGGTAGGGGAGGGAGGAAAGGGAGGAGAAGAGAGGTCAGAGGTGGGCCAGGGAGGGGCTATTTGTTTCATAAAGTTCACGCAGCGCTCGGTTGTGGAAAAGATAAAGCAATGAAATTATTGCAACCGCAATATGTTCAATGTTTACTTTTGAAAAGAGCTGACAACATTCCTGGATTGCAGGCATCAGAGAATCGGCTGCCTCCCCCATGGCAGCAGATTAGTAGACAAAGTAAAAGGAGTCTTCTTACCAGTTAGGAACTTTAATAATCACAGTGAGAGAAGAAAGAACACAACTCCTAGAAATGGCGGTGCTCCCAGTTAAGGATTACACTCCCCTTCTGTTCCTATTTATCTACATCACTTTTGCCTCTTGTAATCTGAGCTTGTACCCTCTGTGCTTTCTGTTCTACCGCCTTCTGAGCTCTCCGAGACTTTGGAGACGGGGTGGTGGGGGTGGGGGTGTGGATGCGGTCCAGAGACTGTGAATCTGTTAACCCTCTCCCTCCCAGTGTTTCCTCTCTCAGCTGTTCCCCATCCAGTGTCCCCCAGCTTCTGCCTTCTGAACTATGCCCCCCTGCAAACCACTCTTCCAAATCTATACTGTCCTCCTGCTCCTGGGAAGATTCAGGATCCGGATCAGGAGGAGGGGGTGTAGTGGAAATGCAGGAGACAATTGTATTTCGAGGAGTTAGGTGGCATGTCCCTTTCCCTTTAACACCCCCAGTTTGAGGTCTGCTGGATTCTTGTGTTTCACACACCTGTCGGGAGTTTATTGGGTTCTTCTGTGTTGCAAGCGCTGGCTGGATGCCGGCTGCAGGTAGTGGGAGACTCTCAGCCGCTCTGTATTAAACATGAGTAATGCCAGGTGTACCGGGACACGGGTGGCGCTGTGGGTTAAACCACAGAGCCTAGGACTTGCCGATCAGAAGGTCGGCGGTTCGAATCCCCGCGACGGGGTGAGCTCCCGTTGCTTGGTCCCTGCTCCTGCCAACCTAGCAGTTCAAAAGCACGTCAAAGTGCAAGTAGATAAATAGGTACCGCTCCGACGGGAAGGTAAACGTGTTTCCGTGCGCTGCTCTGGTTTGCCAGAAGCGGCTTAGTCCTGCTGGCCACATGACCCGGAAGCTGTACGCCGGCTCCCTCGGCCAGTAAAGCGACATGAGCGCCGCAATCTCAGAGTCGGCCACGACTGGACCTAATGGTCAGGGGTCCCTTTACCCTTTACCTTTAATGCCAGGTGTACTTGATTACATCAAGGCAGGCTATAAAAGCCATAGGTGGGAGGGGCCAGGTGAGCTTCTGCCCAGATCAAAGGATCTGATGCTGGGAGACCAACGGTCCGGGTCTTTCTCCTGCTGCTCTACCTGGGGCTCCGGGCAGTTGAAGGGGAAATTGGGTAGCCCCTGTCGGGTATGTTTCGTTTTATGCTTTGCATGCCTGCTGTTTATTTGTTAATAAAACTGTTTTGGTTCCCCTTCCACTTCCTCATTCCTTTTGTCCTGATATCCATGGAAAGAACTCCCATCATTCCTCCTCAGTACAGCCATCCTCAGCACAGTCCCTGACAAGGTCAGAGGCAGGCCAGGGAGCTATTTATTTGATAAAGTTCACTTGGTGCTCAGTTGTAGAAAAGCCTCGAAGCGGTTTGCAGAAAAGATAATGCCGTGAAGCGATTGCAACCATAATCTTTTCAATCTTTACTTTTGAAAAGAGTCAACGACAGTCCCAGATGGCAGATATCTATCATGGCACATTCCAAAAGGAGCCAGCTTTTATGCAACCAGTTGATTTCAACTGCATGATATTAATACAGTCATACCACGGGTTGGGACGTGAGTGGTGCTGTAGGTTAAACCACAGAGCCTAGGGCTTGCCGATCAGAAGGTCGGCAGTTTGAATCCCCGCGACGGGGTGAGCTCCTGTTGCTCGGTCCCTGCTCCTTTCAACCTAGCAGTTTGAAAGCATGTCAAAGTGCAAGTAGATCAATAGGTACCGCTCTTGCGGGAAGGTAAACGGCGTTTCCGTGCGCTGCTCTGGTTCGCCAGAAGCGGCTTAGTCATGCTGGCCACATGACCCGGAAGCTGTACGCCGGCTCCCTCGGCCAATAAAGCGAGATGAGCACCACAACCCCAGAGTCGGCCACGACTGGACCTAATGGTCAGGGGTCCCTTTACCTTTACCTTACCACGGGTTACAGATGATTCAGGTTGTGTTTTTTTGGGTTACGGACCGCCGAAACCCGGAAGTACCGGAACGGGTTACTTCTGGGTTCCGGCAGTTGCGCATACGCAGAAGTGCCGAATCGCAACGTGCGTGTGCGCAGACGCGCCACAGCGGGTTGCGAACTTGCATCCTGCACGGATCACGTTCGCAAGCCGAGCATCCACTGTACAGCGGCACTTCGATTTTCAACGTCTCGGTAGTCGAACGTTTCAGTTTCTGAACATCGGAAACCAGGAAGTGACTGCTTCGGTTTTTGATCGCTTTTCAGAAGTCGAATGTGCCACATGGCTTCCGTATTGAGTTTTCCGGAAGTACAGTGGTACCTCAGGTTACATACGCTTCAGGTTACAGACTCCGCTAACCCAGAAATCGTGCTTCAGGTTAAGAACTTTGCTTCAGGGTGAGAACAAAAATCGTGCTCCGGTGGTGCAGCAGCAGCAGGAGGCCCCATTAGCTAAAGTGGTGCTTCAGGTTAAGAACAGTTTCAGGTTAAGAACGGACCTGCGGAACGAATTAAGTACTTAACCCTAGGTACCACTGTAAACGCTTCTGGAAGTA